GCTCTTCCGATCTAAATGGTGATATTTCTTTAGAACATTTTTTACGTATGTTTTCACGATTTAATCAACATTATCAACAATCAGAATTACTGCCTGAAGGTAAATATTACTGTTATATATATTAAAATGTAGGATACGTTGGAAATATTCCTTTAAAAATGATGTTATCGTTATTGTTATTTTTTGTAAAAAGTAACTCATTACTCGTTATGATTTTGAAATGTTACCGTTACTTGAAAAGTAACGGTACATTACTTTTTCCTTATTTTTTTGGTATTACTAAAATAAATTTAATTATATTTTAAATTTATATTACTTGATAATTATTATTAAATGTAAAAATAAATATTAAAACTGGAAACTCTAAATCAGTCTGTATATAACAGTTTTTTTATTTCGTTTATTTTGATAGAAAGTTAGATTAAGTTTATCATTTTGAAACATTAATATATGTTATTATTAACAATGCATTTCAATATTCATTGTTAGTACTGAAAATTTAGAGTATATATGTAATGTGAATTATATTATTTTCAATACTAGTGACCACGGAAATGTAGGTTAAAAGTAAAAAATATAAATAAAATACAAAATATTTTTTAAAAATTAAATTATAAAATTATATTATTAAATTAAACAATAAAAGTGTAAAAAAATAACGATAAAAGTAACTGTAAATTCGTTACCGTTACTGTAAAAATGTTTCGGCGTTACTATTACAGACAAAAACAAGTAATTTGTTCTGATCGTTACTGAAAAAATTAACGAAAACGATAATACAAGTAACTTCTCAACCTTATTAAAATGAATTCATTATAAATAAAGGCTTTAAAATATTTTTAACAATTATTTTTTATAATTATTTATAACATTTTTTAATAATAAACATGTAATACTTTATTGATTACAGCCAATGATCATGAAGAAATAGATGGGAGTTTACTTTCAGATAGAATTTTAGAATCAGGTTGAATTATAATAAATTATTATATAAGTACAAATTATTTATTGTTAGTTTATTATAAGTTTTTTATAGTGTACCGTTAGATGCAGTTTAATATAATTATCTTTTTTTTATCTATTTTATAGTTGAAACCAGATCTACTCGAAATTTTAATCGAAGACGATATCGTTCTCGTAATAATTTATCAAGTCAAGAGGAAATTCCTCCTTCTATTGAATCTTCAGGTAAAACTGTACTTAATGGATGAAATGCATGTTGTATTTCTAATAACTTAATTTTGTTTCTTAAAGAAAGGAATAATTTTAGAAGCAGGTCAATATAAATTATTCAGTTTATTATAACAATTATAGTGTACTTAGATGTAGTTTGAATAATAAATTACTATCTTTTTTCATCCATGTTTAGTTGAAACCAGATCTACTGAAAATTTTAATCAAATACAACATCGTTCTGCCAATAGTTCATCAAGTGAAGAGGAAGTTGCACCATCTATTGAATCTTCAGGTAAAACTGCACTTCACTGACATTTCTAATAACTTATTTTTATTTTTAAAAGAAATAGTAATTTTAGAATTCAAGTCAATATAAATTATTCAGTTTATAATTATAGCGTACTTCGATGCAGTTCGAATAACTTACTTTTTTCATCCATGTTTAGTTGGAATCAGATCTGTTCAAAATTTTAACGAAAGACGACATTCTCGCAATAGTTTATCAAGTCAAGTTACACCACCTATTGAATCTTCAAAACTATGCTTCACTAGCATATTACATTTCTAATCATTTAATTTTGTTTTCTAAAGAAATGTAATTTTAAAAATTATATTGTGTTAAAGTGATGCTTGAAATAAATAAAACCTTTCCACGAAATATTTTGCATAAATTATTTGACACTGCAATTTTTTATTTTATTCTATTTTGCATTTATTATAAAGTCAAGTAAAACACTCAAATATGTATTTTAGCAGTGAAAAATATTTTTTTAATATCTCAACTACTTCTATTTAAACATAAGCAATTATTATATTTTTATAATTAAGGAGTTACATTCTCTTAATTATAGTAGTCTTGTACCAGTAATGTACTAATTTAATACAATAACACTGTCCGACATATTTAGATGACGGACAGGACGAAGTGAATCTTATCTTTCTTATAGATTTTTTGTTGCTGAAAATGAAATTGCTCTATCACGTTGTTAGAGAAAATTGAACTTAAAAGTACTAAAAATGACATTTTTTTGAACAAAAAATGTCTCAAAAATGTGACGTGATTGTAATTATATTTATGGATTTACTTTCAATAACAACAAATCTGTAAGAATCACTTTGTGGTTTAAAAAAATGTGTTGGACTATAATGATACAGCAAAATATGTTTTTTTATAATGTATCTTGAGAACAAATTTCAATAGTTGCAAGACACAAAATAATGTATGTATTTAGTCATAAAATTTTGATTGTATAAAAATTATTAAATTAATTTTTTATTTTACACTAAATTAATTTTTTTTTATTATATATATATTAATTTTTCTTGCAAATTAATTGATTTCCTATTCTGCATATCAAAGTATTGAGATAACATCAAAAAATAAATATTTTATAAGATAAAGATATTATAAGATCTCACATTTTGTTATTAATCTCACTTTTTTTTATTAATAAGAAATAATAAAGATACACTTTCGGATAATTTTAATATTTTTGTATGTATATAGAATGGCAGGAGAAATTCATTAATAATACTACTTTTGCACATAGTTAGATCAATATAATTGCAGAATATAATCAAATTTTAAATATATTTCTACATGGTTTTTTACATTAATTGATTCTTTCTGGCGTTTTATATAAAAATATTATACAGTATGTCGAAAAGCGACTATATGTAAGATATTTCATATTTTGTACCATAAAATATTATAATTAAGAGGATGCTGAAAAGTCGGTTAAATTTGAACGAGGTCAATAAAGCAGACTCTTCAGTGTCAATGGTATCTCTAAATGAACTTCTTACAATATCTTTTGGTCTCATTCAAACACGTGAATGGTCCTTATTTAACTTATTGAAGTGCCATCTCTTGGAAAATCCGACACTTACTGTAGACACAATTTTTGCTGTCTCTACCTTAGCTGAACATACAAATTATCATAAATTGCAGTTGTAATGATATCTTTTTCTACGCTTTCAATTGTAGCTCAAAAGGTGTTGTATTATTTGTTCCTATAATCCGAAGAGGGCAAGCTACTTAATTATTTTGTACATATGAGCTACAGAACTTTTATACCAATGAAATGTTAACGTCAGGTGACAACTGTACGACCCAAAAAAGGAAATTTTTTAATTTTTGTCGTTTTTATTACAAATTCGTAGCTTGCCCTCTTACACTTTACGTCTATTTCAATCCTATAAAAGCTTCAAATCCGTTCAGTCATTTCGGAGTTATCCTTGCAACTGCTATTGTCGGTAATTTTCGACCTTTCCTCATCCTCTTAAGGCGATGTTGGAATACCAACATTTGCATTCTAAGTAATAACTCCGAAACGACTGAACGGATTTGAAAACGCTTTTACAGGATTGAAATAGAGATAAAATGTAAACGCGCGAATTATATATTTGTAGTAAAAACGAAAAAATATGAAAAAATTACTTTTTTCTTGTCGTACAACTATCATAACCTTTCACGTAAACATTTCATTGGTACAAAGTTCTGTAGCTCATATGTACAAAAAAGTAGTTCGCGCGCATCGGATTACTTGCACGAATAATATAAGACCTTTTGAGCTACCATTGGAAGCGTAGAAAAACAATTATTGCTTAGAATGCAATTCGAATGGTAATTCGTACGCTTGGCTAAGGTAAAGACAGCAAAAATTACGTTTGGCAGTAGTACCGAATTTTCCAAGAGATGACACTTTAATAAGTTAGATAAGGACATTCCACATGTTTAAGTGAGACAGAAGATCGATATTGTAAGAAGTTCATTTAAAGATACCATTGACACTGAAGAGTCTGCTTTATCAACCTCGTACAAATTTTTCTGACCTTCCGGCATCGCCTTAAGTCAAAATGTCTACCTCAATTCACTTTGATTTTATCTCAATAATTTTATATATATAAAGACAGACAAGTGAAAAAATTTCTTTAATAAAAAGTAAGGTTTCTCATTTAAAAATCAAAATTGTCCTTGATCTAAACTTGAATGTAATCTAAGGTAAAACCGTTAACCCGGCTACTGTGCACCTCTAGATACATTTCTTTGCCTGTAATTTATATCTGAAACATTTTTTTGCATTACAGAGAAGATATTATGTTATATCATAAACAAGTATAAATCTATCATCTTGTATAATTTCTAAATTTCTTGCGAATTTTATACAAATGCATATTTATATTGCGTGCTTGTGTGCGTGCACGCGTGCATGAGTGTGATATGTGTGCGTATATGTGCAATTATATAAAAATTTATTTTATAAATAAAATTGTTTATTTACATACTTTTTTTTAATTTTTAAAGATAAAAATATGAATTGATTATAGTATATTTAGCTACCTTTTTATATTTATTCATATTACATTGTTTTGCTTTTGTGCTACAATTATTAAATTAGTATAATTACAATATTACTGACGCAATATATATAGTTGCACACATGAACAACAAAAAATATGTCAAATATATATATATAAGTCAATAGGTATTCTCTGTTCTCTAATATTTTTATTATCATTAATCACGTACATATATACCTGAAAATATATGTATATACATTAGAGTGGACCTTATTTATATTTGGTGAAAAATTTTTTCCTAATTTTTTTCACAACGCTTCCTAAAGTTGTTCCATTTGGTGAGAAAAAAAATTGTGTAAAAGCTGAGCTCGACCGGATAACAGAAAGACGTGGCACAATCCTGTTAAATTAGTTGAAACAAATATTTGTTTCACAAAAAATGGGGGAATCCGGTGAAAAAAATTCTGAATAAAGATTAAATGATTTTCTTAGTAAATGTTGACCAATGATAGTATGTTTTTAAATAAATATAGTATATTTAAATCGTATTTTTACAAAATATATCGTATATATATATATATATATATATACATATGTATATATAT